ACTTACACAAGGCTAGACTACTTCCTAATGTCACACCACAACTTGGCCCTACTCAAAGCAGCAGAAATTCTGCCAATGACGTGGTCAGACCACTGCCCGATCCGCATACGGATGAAATCACCGCTATTCAAGACCAATGACCTGCTGGCACACAAGACGGTAGTACGGGGCCAGATTATAGCAATTTGCGCGACCCGCAAAAAGGCGGCAGTACAGGAAATAACCAAGCTCAGCAGAGAAATCGCGATCCTAGAAGCCAGACATAAATGAACCCTAGAAACAACGATATACAGAGACCTAACAGATAAGCGAAACCAACTAACCACGCACCTTAACAGAATGATCCAACGCTCTTACCAACACTACAGACACATGATACACGAACACGGAGATAAATGCGGGAGACTGCTAGTCAACCTCCTGAAGCAACGTACAACACAACTGTATATACCGAAAGTAAAAAACGCACAGCAACAAATCAGACACCTCCCTGACCAAATAGCACTCCAACTGTACTACCAAGACCTTTACCACCTGCGCAAGGAAGCACAAGACAACCAGAAACCTCATAAAACGGCGGACATACGCAAATACTTGGACTCAGCAAACATACCAGAAATAACGGAAGCAGACAGAGAAACACTGGAAGTGCCTATAACACCCGAAGAATTGGCATACGCCATCAAGAAAGCAAAAACGGGCAAGGCACCGGGACCAGACCCCTGATCTGTGCGTTGACGCTGGAGCCGTTTCTGCGGAGGATCAGACGGAACATAAACATACAGGGCCTCACAATTGGAACAACACAACACAAAACTCTAGCGTATGCGGACATCATGCTGTTTGTAGTCACATATCCAGAGACCACCTTGCCGGCGATACAGGCAGAGTTCAAAGAATATGGTCGAATCTCCAACCTCCAAATAAATTACTCTAAGTCGGAGATTCTCAACCTCACCATCAACCACGCCCATAAACAAACACTCCAAAGACAACACACATACCACTGGTGTGACCAACGCATGAGGTACTTAGGGGTATGGCTCACACCCAACCCGGCAGACCTCTACACCCATAATTACCTCCCTATACTAAACAAAGCAACAGAGGAACTAAATAAATGGAGCTCCCTCTACACGTTGTGGCTAGGCAGAGTAAATGCCGTCAAGATGACGCTACTACCGAAACTTCTCTTCATGTTCCAAACTTCAAGACACTACAGGCAGAGGTCCGCACGTTAATATGGAAGGGCAAATCCGCACGCATAGCGCACGATCAATTAACCCTTCCTAAACTCCGAGGAGGCCTGGCGCTCCCCGATTTTGAAAAATACTACCAGGCTGCGCACCTCACCAGAGTCGCCAGCTGGTCGGTCGCCAGCGGAACGAAACCGTGGACCCAGCTAGAATCCGACATCACTAACTGCGACCTCCGAACTCTACCATGGATACCCAGGGCCACATACAAGCATAAACATATCACCAACCCATTCATGGCGGCGACCATGAAGATCTGGCACAGGCAAGGCACGAAGCAATACCTCACAATGGACCTAGGCCCGCTACTGCCACAGCGGGAGATCACGGCCCCACGCCGGGCCTGGCGAGACTCACAGCAACTCCCCGAATGCTGGATGTCCTCCAACGACCATTTAATGTCCACTCCGTCACCCAACTATGAACCTAAAGGTTAAGTTAAACTGGCTATGACAAATTTGCCTCTGCGAAGGCAACCAAAGACGCATACTGTGTAAACAAATGCTTCAGCCCATACGAGGACGATGACTAGATATATTGCAAATCAGTTTGATACACTAAACCAATGCCTAAGCCCCTGCTTGGGCAATCACGTGTTTAAATACAGACCAGTTTGATTCGTGCATTTATGTTATGAAACCAATAAAAATATTCAAAATTAATTTTCAGGGGATCCTGAGATCGCATAATGTCACACCATACAAGAGGCTCACCACCCGAGGTGGCTACATGTAACTCCCACCAACGAGCCTCTAAGACCTCAGTCACCCTATCAATGACGATTCTTTAGGCATACTACTGCATGTAACAGTTATTATTGTCTATTTACCCTTTTGGTCCGGGATACTAGGTTATATTATTACATTACTGGGTTATATTACTCTCTCAGCTATTATGATTAATAGGCCATTACCTTAACTATCACCCCGACTCCCGCATCGCAGCACTGATGGACATCACTCCCCCCCCCCCAGTACCTGGCTTTACTTAGATTCATTGAAAAGATACTGAGTTATAAATCCACTTCCGTGACCTATACCTCAAGATGGTATTTCAACGACACATAACTAAATACTGTAATAACCTACTGTTGTACTCTGAATACTATTTCACTATTGCACCGACACCTATATTGTCTAAACTCTTCAATAAACATTACAACAACAAAAAAATCAGATCGGCCAAATATGGGTGTGAGAAAGACTATGCTGAATCTTTTTGTGTCCAATAAAAATCTGCACTTGATATAACCTTGTGTTTCCAGTCCATTCATCTTATTTCATCAGATATGGGAACGCAGTATGGTATGGCAGAGATGTTAATTTTGAAAGCACACATGTTCAGTGTAACCAGAAGGAGAGGACAAGAATTTTAAAGATAAATGTGAAAAATGTTGAGCATCATGAAAGTGACCCTTGAGTGGAGCCATAATTACTTGTTTTGTACTCCACAGCAATGCTTAAATAACTTCAGTAAAGGAGTCAAAGCTGTGCAAAATAAGTAAAGAATTTATGAAGACGAAATACATTTATGTTTTACCCTCCAAGTGTGGATGTCCAGACTCAGGTAAGCAGGTAAGTAAAAGCCCGTGCTTGTTTTCTTCTCGTCATAAAATTAACAATGCAGCAAAGAAGCAATAGCCAGACTGGGGTAAAGAGAAAGATATTTATGCAAGCGAAAGGTCTCTGTGCAAGTGCCTTGCAAGCACAAAATGCATGTATCTCGTTCTCTGGTCCCCTCTGTACAGTGGCTACTGTCACTATGCTGTTCTGACAATTTTATTATCAGAAGAAATAGTTTAGTTTGAACTTTTCCTCACCTGCTCAATTCTGGATGTCCATTCCCTCTAGGGATTCGGTGTTTCTGTATTCACCATTGTACTCCACAGCATCTCCAGACTGAGAATGATAGATTTTAGTAACCACGGCACCCTCAGTGCAGGTACTGCCAAAACCAGTGATTCTCAATGCAGTCCTCAAGTACCCCCTAACAGTCCAGGATTTAGGGATTACCCAGTTGTGCCTAAGGTTTTTTTTTTTTTCAGAAAGACAGAAAAAAAACACTGACAAAACAGAGTAATCCCTAAATCCTGTGCTGTTATGGGGTACTTGAGGACTGGGTTGGGAACCCCTGGCCTAAACTAACAGTCCTAACTACCCTTAGCATCGAACCCAGCAGGTATTATGGAAAGCACCTTGATAAAAGGCTCCTCCATATGTAATGCCATAACAACAACTTATGTTACTCTTACAAAGCTCGACATTTTTGACTGTGTGCTTTTTAATGGTTGCCACAACATTTAACCTGTGACTTAAAAATAAATGCTGTGAAGTTTAACACAAGAGAATGCAGCTCTTCTATAGCATCACTGTTATGACGCTCAACAACGTGGATGTAACCTTGTGTGGATGGTTCTAGATTATAATATATATGAATGATTGTAAAATCAATCATTCATATATATTATAATCTAGGACCATCCACGAAATTCTGCCAAGATATGGAATCAGAACATGGCACATGGGCATAGTTTATTCATTTATTGCCATTTCTCATACTAAGAATACTCACTCTGATTCATCCAAAGCTACAGTCTTGACGTAATAATCACTGGAATACAGCACCACATTGCTAACTTGTTCCACTGTACGGAAGAGAGAAACACGTCTTAATGAGTGTTACAGACTTCAAAAGAAAATAATTGCTACAAATGTGCGGTCTTCTTAATTTGTACTAATAACTGTGGTTACATCCTTAAATCTCATCCGTTAAATAATAATCAGTTCCAAAAATCCCTAAGAAAGACATTGTCTCTGACAAGCCAAACACATCCATCTCCAGGCAGGCTTTATAAGAGTTTCAACCTATCTAGCAGGACAATCCCTTGGATCAGGGGCAATAATAAGTAATTGACAATACACAAGATCCATCTTTGGGTGGCGAACATTGACGTTGTGGCAGGCTTATGCAATGTATGATCATATCATGTAACTAAACCCCCATTACGTTTTGCCTAGATTAGGTGTTTTTTTTTTAAAAAAACCTTTAGAAAAAACTTTTTTTAAAAACTAATAAAATCTGCAAACATTGAAGTTGCTGTTTAGTAGATAGGAGAGTGCGCTGAATCTTGTGTATTGTTTATTGTATAATATGGCCCCCAGCAGCACCCCATTTAAGCATGTTCAGGTGAGTGCAACCACCCCCCCATGTTTCATATAATAAGTAATTGAATAACGTAATAAATTCCTGATGGATGACAATTCTCCATCGAGCCTTGTGATGTCAAGTATGAGAGACAATGTAACCATATTAAAATCAATTTGTTTCTCCAGCTTTATGTACAATGCTTTTCTTTAGGTCTATGTAAAGATTTTGACCCCGTATATTCTCACGGTAGGATAATCGCAGAGACTGGTACACTGAGAATTTATAGCACATTGTTCTGCACATGAATTCTCTGTGTCAGTGTTGCTCACCTTTTCATTGTGGAAGGTAGAAGGCTAAATACCGTTTTGAATTCTAGAACATTATGCCAGAAGCCTGCAAACTCTGAAGACTCCTTTTTAGCCAATACAAGTTTAGTATTTCTCTTAAAACCTATTCATTTCATTTCTTTTTTATAATATTTCTGTTTGCATGTAGATGATAGAACAATGACACTTGTACACATCATATAGTACCTGATGCAGCTATTTTCTTGACTGTCTTGTCAGAGTTGTTGGTCACCGTGACAGCCACTGATATAGGTTCTCCATGGTAGAACACCTGAAACAGGACCAATGCATTAGTGTGCAATTATGAATGAACTGCAAGTCATTCACGACCATCACTACTTTAGAGACTCTCTCACCTCCTTAGTCAGACTTGCAGTCAGGTGAAGAGGCTTGTCAGACATAAAGAATTGCCAAGATGTCTCTGCTCTGGGGCTGGGACCTGGCTGGTCAGGAGCATATTGGATCTTGCGGATCAACAGACGGACAGAATTTCTGGAAATACAAAAATATATATCTGAGGGAATCTAAGGACCTAGACAAGCTTTGTTCAGTGCATGAATCTATAATGTGTGCCTGGATCATTAATTATTAGATCTGTAATTTGCTCATTTGTCATAACTCTCCTACAAATTCTTTCCATATTCATTTGAAAACCAATAAATGTACCCCCACTCTATCAAGGTAAGCAACCACGTACTTACATGTTTGTATGCAAAAGAATGCACTTTCATATATTAATTAATTTACATTTTTAATTAATGAATGAACTAATCTCAGGATGCAGAATTGGGTCCCGGTTCGATAATCTTCCCTCACTGGGCAAATTTGCATGTAGAAGTAAAGGAGACCCAATGTAATGTATTGACATTATTATTAATATTATTATTAAATTTATAAGTGATGCTCATGGCTTGCTTAGAAGTTGGGACCCTGTAAAAAAAAATGTTAAAGGAACACCCCAAGCACTTTAGCTTGCTGAAATGTTTTATAAGTGAGGAGTGTGTCCTCTTTTTCATTTTACACAAAGTGCAGATTTCCACAGAAATTGGCACTTTTATAAGCTAACCTTGTTATACCCTATGGCTGTCAGACAACTGTTCCTAATGCTTCCTGGTTGTTTAGCTCAGTGGAGCTAAATTCAAGAGGCTGAAATTGCCCAGAGCACCTGCCTTGCAAAGACTTCTCAATAAGTTGCATTGGGAAGTCTGTGATTGAACCACAGAAAGTCTGGGTTGGGGAAGAAGGTTAGGGATTGTAAAGGCTGCAAACAAGAGATCTGCAGCTATTGCTAGCTGTTTTACATATACCCTCAATGTAAAAATACACAATTTAATGCATGCATGTTTTCATTGGAGGTATATCTACTAAATAGTGATGTATTTTATTATTTTAACTTATTTATATTTGTATTTGGAAATGGAATTTCCTTTTAAGAAAGAGTGTTACCACTTTAAATGAGAATGTATTGCAGCCTGTAACTTAAAAGGACATTGAAGGCATTACTTATTTAGTGTGTTGCTTTTATGTCCTCACTTTTTGCGAATTCTTTCTTCCAAGTTGGTTGCAGAAAAAGCTTTGATTTCAAAATCCACACCGCAGGCCTGGGAGAAACAGATAAATGCAATTGAACAGTATTAAGTCAGGCAAATGGCTTCTGTACTTTCCATAGCCACACTTAAAGCATGCCAGCCTGTAATCGGCTTTAGAATTTCCATTGTGATTATCCAAAGGCTACAACAGGCACTTGCCCAATTATCACATTCAGTGTCATTCTTAAACCAATGCAGGACTGGCTGTGCATGATGGGTTATTTTATCAATTATCAGTGAAGGTTCTACTTGAAATGTGGATAGAATGAGAGAGAATGAAGTCTAACAAAGATGTTATCCAGAGTCTGACTCCCATTGTTTAAATTTCCATGGAATGAGCAAGGATGAGCCAACATCTAAATCGTCAAGCCAAAGGTCTATGCAGGGGTAAACAACCTTCGGCACTCCAGATAATGTGGACTACATCTACTTTGCCAGCATTACAGCTGTAAGAGCATTAATAGAGATTTGGTCCACAACATCTGGAGTCCCAAAGTTTGCCTACCCCTTATTGTATGCAATTTCTGTACAACGTGGAGCATACAATAGGCACTATTACAGCAAAAAGTGTTTAAGAATTTTATAACCCTACTTGATTTCAAGGTGTAGAGAAAAAAACAAAAACAAGTGAAAAGATAAATCTCACCTTTCCCACATCAGTGGGAGCTGGCTGGAGAGACACCGAACATGGAAGATAATCAGGGAACTGAAAAAGACATACAGTGCATAAGAGAGGTATATTCAAAGGCAGTAAAAAAAATTATTTTAAATTAAATGTTGCAGCTCAATAGCAGGGAATATGATATGATGGCCAATTGGCCAAACAAGGACTTTTATTATTTAGAATATCAGAGGTTGGTGATGATGTACCATTACCAAGACTATGGAAACTACTTGATCACCGTTATTTAGAGAAAAAGTCCACTAAGGGGTGTACTGTTATGGAGCTCTGTCAGAGCTGTTAGAGCAGTGGAAACTCACGAAAAACTCAGTTCCCCTTCAATATTTGCAGGAGGAACGGAGTTCCCAAATTATCTATTGTGAAGGAAGGAGGAAGCGAATATGGTGAATGTGTCTAATAAATATTTTAATTCTTAATATTTTAGTAGTTGACTATGAAACCACCACTACCAACATTCTATTCTATGCATTGCACAGTAAGGGAAGCTAGGTGAGGTCTATTTTGTAGAACAGAGTCAGCGATGGGGGTATAATGTATAAGTAATTAAATCTTTATGATTTTATTAGTAAAAAGTTTTACGGTTTCCTTAATATTGGTATCCTTGCAGTATTTCATAAATTCTAATGTACACCAAATGTGTTTGTAGTCTGTATGACTATATTTTGAAATTAATAGAAACCATACTGGTGCAAACGGTATATCGCTGTTAGTTGTAAAACTGTGGAGCTCGGTGGTTTAATAGACACTGTGCATTATTGTAGAACACTTACAGCTTGTTAATGTAAGTTTTTTTTCCGTAAGTATACCCCTCGTGAAATTAGACATTACCTGCATCAAGAAGGGATAGGCATTGTTCCCCAGCTTCTTCATTAGCCGCTCCTGGACCTTGGTGATAGTTTTGGGGTCTTCTATTGGTGGATAAACCTGAGTTCGAGCAAAGTAGAGGTCTTTGCGAAAGGTCAGCCCAATGACATCAATATCTTCTTGACCATAGCGAAATGCGCAGGTCACAGTGACATACACTGAAAATATATACATAATAAAAAGGTTTAATAAGCAGAACATGCAAAATTGTGTAGTTTAGGTTTTGCAAATTCAGTGACTACAAGCAAAGTAAATATTGTTTTGACATAATACACCATCACAATATAAAAGCTATATATTAAACATGGTGTTATCCAATTAAGGACCTAATTTAATAAGCTTTCCACGTGATTCAATACTGTTCGAATAACTTTCCAAATGATTTCTCTACAGAAGTCACCATTAAAATCTATTAGAATATAGTACACAAATCATTTGGAACGTTTCTAACAGTATTGAATTATTTTGAAAGCTTATCAAATTGAGACCTGAATGTGTATCACTTGATCATATAATGACCCCATATGCCAGGGTTAACATAATGGTAAATAAGGCAAAACATCAATTTGACTGTATGCATAATTTTAATTTAGTTTGTTTTTTTGCTTTTTAATATTTTTACAACATGTACCTTTTTTTCCCTTGAGAAGGTCAGGATCCACTAGAACAACACCATCTATGAAAAATAACATACATTTTTAAAAAGATGAACATTAAAGGAAAGAAGTGTAACGCAACATATTTAAAATCTGTTTCGTACTTCTACATGTTAGAAGATAAATGTTTCATTTACGGTATGACATGTGGTTCTTATTGGAATTTAGCAAGAAATATAATCCCAACTGTATCACTAGGATAAAAAGATATGTGACAGGCTAAACGTGCTGGGCTTGTGTCTTTTTAAGCCTAAATTTTAAACTTATATCATTATGAAACTGTACAATGCAAATATATGCCTTGAGATATTTGGACAATATATATTCTAAACTTATATATATACTACACTTTTAAAATGATTTAATATGTAATATTAAATCATTTTAAAAGTTTACCAAAAATATAAAATGTATGCTATCATTTCTAAGAAGCTAAATATAAGGCTTTTGTTTGGCATCAATATTATTGTATATTATTATATAAGGCTATGTATTAGGAGGTTTCATTGGCTTATAAATAATCTTTATTCCTGTGACATTTAGCACTGATTGACACTATACTGCATAATGTATATGTATATGTATATACGACATGCCCATCAAATTAAATATCACTCGTATAGTGCATGTACCTTAAGTACCTGGTTTTCCTTTTATGGTGAAGCTATGCTTGTTTGGCATCCTGGGGAAGCAGGTTAATTCACAGAGGGCCCCAAGTCGGGCCTACACTACCATAAGACAAATTAGGCAATCATACTCTGTCACTTTACCATACTGGCTAGGAGGGATTTCCAAAGATCAGCCAGACTTGTCCTGTGGACCCTCCCTTTAATTGGAGAAGCTTATAGTATGGGTGCAAGTTACTTTTAGCGCTCCCTCTCGTTTATGGTGATGGCACTATCATAAAAATTATTTGCCCATTACTTGGTACTCACCTACTGGCTCCACTGATTCAACGTGATCGATATAATCTCGTTTACCCAGGTATACACTCACCTGTGTAGACAAAGAAGAACAAAAGTGATGTGTATAATGCGGATGGAATTAAGACTGGTGCAGAAGAGATTACATATATCCAGAAGTAGATCTGAAATGCATTTACATTAAATGTAGAAAAAATGTTCAACCAAAAAAAGAAAAACCTTCATAAACCTAATCAGAATCTAAAGGTTTAAAACAATTCCAGGTTATTTATCAATCCATCAGTTGTTAGAAATATGTCAGGAACTGCAAATTGTAGGACAAAATACTTTAATTCTCAAAAGAATTTCAACTTGGCTATTTTGGCCTCCATTTGCAATCCCTATGTGAATTCCTGATATTTTATTAATTGGTGAACAACTGTGATTTTCTGCCAAAGTAGAATTTCGAAGAGAACATTAAATAGGAAGTGGTATGTTTCATCTACAGGAGTCATAGAAGCAGCCAAGATCTATGTTATGACCTCTTCCTAGGTGGTATCTTTCTTGGCATTGCAAGAAAACCATAGATGGAATCCAACTAATATACGACATACAGCATGCTCAAATCAGTATGTATAAAATATGGATACAGCTTGTCCTGTTCATCTACATCAAACTGGTAGATATAGTTTTTCTTTTATAAATTGCCACGTGTTCATATTTACTGTAAGAGCCATACCGCTTTATCACGGGATGTTTTCTTATAGATAACATGTCTGGATTTCTTGTCACTCATGATGCTACACTCCAATTACTGGTACCTGTTTATCTGAAAAGACATGAAAATAGATTAAAGGTGGTCAATAAAACACAAACAATAAGGAAGTTCATGAGTTTTATCAAGAAAGGTGCCTTTACATTATCTAGAATATTGTCATGTAAAGATATTGTGAGATATTGAAAGGTATTGTACATGGTATCAATATCAGTAAGGTCACACTTAAAAATCCATGGTTAGATTTCAATCAATACAAGCCGGAAATGTGCGTTTTATGTAGGTATCCTTCAATGACATCAGAAATATAACTGGAGAACAAGATCACAAAATCAAAAAGTGATTTCTGCCCAAAGTGACTATATATAAGTAGCCTGCAAGGGTCAACATACATACGTCCCAGTCTGGTTTGATTGAAATGTGAATATACACGAACATATACAGCTTACAAAACCCATGTTCTTACTCTACTACTGATTTATATTCTAACAAAACCCATGTTCTATCCCAACTACTGATTTATATACTAACAAAACCCATGTTCTATCCCAACTACTGATTTCTATACTAACAAAACCCATGTTCTATCCCAACTACTGATTTCTATACTAACAAAACCCATGTTCTATCCCAACTACTGATTACTATACTAACAAAACCCATGTTCTATCCCAACTACTGATTACTAACAAAACCCATGTTCTATCCCAACTACTGATTTATATACTAACAAAACCCATGTTCTATCCCAACTACTGATTACTATACTAACAAAACCCATGTTCTATCCCAACTATTGATTTCTATACTAACAAAACCCATGTTCTATCCCAACTACTGATTTCTATACTAACAAAACCCATGTTCTATCCCAACTACTGATTACTATACTAACAAAACCCATGTTCTATCCCAACTACTGATTACTAACAAAACCCATGTTCTATCCCAACTACTGATTTCTATACTAACAAAACCCATGTTCTATCCCAACTACTGATTTCTATACTAACAAAACCCATGTTCTATCCCAACTATTGATTTCTATACTAACAAAACACATGTTCTATCCCAACTACTGATTTCTATACTAACAAAACCCATGTTCTATCCCAACTACTGATTTCTATACTAACAAAACCCATGTTCTATCCCAACTATTGATTTCTATACTAACAAAACCCATGTTCTATCCCAACTACTGATTTCTATACTAACAAAACCCATGTTCTATCAAAACTACTGATTTATATACTAACAAAACCCATGTTCTATCCCAACTACTGATTACTATACTAACAAAACCCATGTTCTATCCCAACTACTGATTACTAACAAAACCCATGTTCTATCCCAACTACTGATTTATATACTAACAAAACCCATGTTCTATCCCAACTACTGATTTCTATACTGACAGGAAGCCGTGTTCTTAAAGCTGATACACTGCTTTTGTCATCACAAGTAGATAGGTCATGAAAAGGTAGGTGTGAACAAAAGAGGCATTTTATTCAGCCAAGTGTGGATTAGACAACATAGTTTAGGATTTAAATGGATTAGGCTGTGGTTTACTGTTTAGACCAGACTTGGCAAAGGCATGCATTATTCTTTAGTTTAGAAACAATGGTGTAAGCATCCAGTGGCATTATAATGACAGGTATGTCTGGTACCACAACAAACACACAAAATGCTGTGCTATAGTCTAGCTAGTATACTGTAACACTTATTTCTAAAGAAAAACAGCGACACAAACTGTGGCAACCCAACAAATATGGCACCGCTTTAATCAGGATTTGCAAACCTTCAGATTATGTACCCAAAGGAACTTGTCCAGCACAACATTCTGCAAATATCTCTGTAACAAAAGATTATTTTGACCTTAAGGATATCAAGAATATTATATTTGTTACACATGTGGTGAAAGAATGAACGGTCAAGTTAAAATGACATTATTTGGCAAGGCTGAGTTACGTTATGTTCACGTACAAATCATTGCATTGTGATACAAAAACATATAAAGTAGATTATTTTATTCCTCTCTGATTGGAAACAATAAGCGGTTTTGTATTGGTGAACTTATGGTGCCTGAATCATCCTTCTCCCCCAGGTATTGCGTCATATGTAAAGCAAAAATATATGAAAACAGGGTATTGGCAGCTCTTTTTTCACAAAAATGTACGGCTATCACACTCCGGCAGTAACTTTCAGAAATTGCCATTACGGCATTTTTAATCCATTCATTCATTTTCATCCCGTTCAGTGGAAGATCACAAAATCAGCATAGCTACGGCAATCCAAGCGTTCTGTGTATCAATAGTGATTCCACAAAAGTCACAATTTATTATGTAAAACAAAACTATGAATGCACTACAAAGCATCTGGTCAATATGAAAAGTAGCTAAGGATATGCAAACCTCACCCCAACATTAGTGGGAATGAACAAAGAAAATAATGTATTTTACTACACTGGGACTAGAGCAGCCTGTAATCTTCTAGTTCAGGAAAGTAAGTAAGACCCAGTCTTTATCCTAAGGGTAAATTAAGGCCCTACCAAAACCCTCCCTTATACTACACACACACTATGGACCACCACATGTTCTATTAGCCACATTGAGACATAACACCTCTGAATGAATACAGATTATTATATAAAACTACATTTATGAACCCCGCCCAATGTTGTATTACACCTTATTATTTCTCTATATATATCACAGGAGACTTGGGCTAACAATTAAAGGATTCCAAAGTCTGAAAACTCATGCACCTATTAGCCCCCTCTACCAATGCCCCTGTTTGCAAGGAGTCTATCTAGTTTTGGGGTCTGGTTGTAGTTGGTTGTTGGAATGGATTCACATTAACTACTTTGCATTTAAAAAAAAAAATATTTTTCTAGGTACAAGGGAATGTGATTGAGTTGACTATGGCCCTATCACATGTCAGCTTACTTATGCAGCTTCCAAAGGATGCTTTTGTGCACAGATTTTAATTGTTCAATAAATACGGTATGCGCTAGCTTGGCTAAGATACATTAATGATGCATTTAATGTGACAACACTGCGGAGCTTTCAGGAGAAAAGACTCCTTGTTGGAGTAGAGCAATGATGTAGTCCACTTTGTATACGAGTCACCGTTTTGACAGCTGGCTCTTTTCACTAACTGCTCTTTGTCTAGGGATATCTTTCCCAGGGCATATGATAAGGCTATTCTTAACTTAAGCAAATAAAAAGCAATTAAATTGTCAAAGAATACATTGACACACAGAGAAAATAAAGAATAACTATTATTTTTTTATACAGTGTCAACATATGCCGCAGCGCATTACAATTATAAAAAGGGGATCTGACACCAAGTAATTGATGAGGGCCCTTTTCGTACAAGCTTACAATCTATGAGAATTTAAAGTAGGTGGATATATATTATTAGAGGTCTTGCCCAAGGACACTTACTGGTGAGGTAATCTGGCATTGGAACCTGGCTTTTCTGTTTCTAAGGCAGTCAAAATGTCCTATATTTATAAAATGATCCATAATAACAGCTCAATGGACTTACTACAATATTATGGAGGAGGACCTTTGCAGACATGATTTCCTGAACCAATTTATGGTCTAAAAAGAAATTATTGTTCAATCGCCATCCCAAAGGTTGACTGAGCAGAAGTACCAGTGTCAATCTGACCACGTCATAGAGGCAAAGTCGTGGCGATGGTGTTGGGTAAAGCATTATTCCAGTCTAGAGTAACTGTTGTGTGCTGAAAAGAAGAATGCGAAGTCCCTCATGCAAGATTGATGGCCATCCAACAATCAATCAACAGTCAATAAATTGCTTTCATAATATAGAGCAGTGTTCCCCAACCCAGTCCTCGTGGACCACCAACAGGCATATTTATGTATTTCCCTGTTTTATTCCAATGGTAATACTAACAAAACCTGAACTGCTGGTGGTCCATGAGGACTGGGTTGGGAAACACTGATTATAGAGGACTTTGCCAATAGGGTTCTCAACCTCCCCAATGTACTATTACAATATGATTCTAAATATATATATCTAAAATATATTACAGTCCTCCCCAGATACCATTCATTTAATGGTACAGAACAAAGAAAACATTTTTAAAAACGGATACGGTCTACTACAGCATTATTACATTTATGGTTAAAACCACTGCCTGGCCCATATCTTGTCCCAGATGTACCTGGCTGTCTTTTTGCTGATACTCTATGTGATAATTATAATTCAGAAAATTAAATTCTAATACCTAAAGCGGTCTAGTTCAATAGCAGGCACTCCAATCTCTAAATCTAGAAATGGCCCGTATACATGCATGCGATCAATTTCTATTAAATAGAGACATGGGATAGACAGACAGACAGACAGATAGATAGATACACACAATATACTAACTTGTTACAGAATGAAGCCTGCACTGGAATCCAATAATCTGATAAGTGGACAATGTGTAGATGGCACACTCTGACCTAAAAAGATTGTGCACCGAAATAAGTAGGAGCAGCAGGAGGGTGGGGAGGAGAAAATGTCCCATATAATCTCCAACCTAGGGGTGTGAAGATAGCAGGATTAGGAGATGAGCCAGGAGTATCTGTGTCAGCATTGAGCAGTATTAACAAGAGGTTACAGGACAGAGCACAAGGGGGAAAGGTGAAGTGAAAACAATAGTACAAGATCTACTCACATCCTTCTAAATATCAACAGTAAAGGTCATTCTGCACAGAGTGTTCAGGGATGTAAGAATAGGTTATTAAAGTGTATCTACTCTGACAACTCTCAGAACAAACCCTGGCGCAGTATTTAGGCTGTGCTATTTGACACTCTAGAGAGTACGCAGTTGCATCAAGGTTCCATAAATGTTAATGCATTTGCATTTTATTAATATACTTTTCTGACAAAACAGACAGCTGGAATATACAGTTGTAATCAAAAATTTTCAACACCCATTGTAAATCAGGTTTATTGTTAAAATTTACAGACTTTCAGCTGCAAATGGTTTCCCTAAATTCAAC